GAAGATTAAGAGGGGAAGGCGAGTCATTGATGAGAACAACACACAACTCTATCCGATCGCTCATCGTGTTACACCTTCCCATAATCTGACTACAGTTCACCATGGAAAGTCATCAATAAAGGTAAACTTGCTAACCTAAATTAAATACCGATGCGGATGGTTGCGTCGCTTCGCTAGTTATTCATACTGCGGTAATGAAACCGTGAGGCGAGCGGATCCCCCCGTGCCTGCCGGCGGACGGCGTTGAATAGCTGAGAAAAGAGAGGGATTATAATCCCGGGAGAGGGTACCGAAGAAGGTGCAGACACGCACTGTTGTCGGCACACTCACTGAGTGTCACTCAGACGCTGTGTCTCTGAGTGTCTTTCTCTTACCGATACTTCTAGGGTCGGCTCGTACCGAGCCGCCCTACCAGGCCCACGCGACCGGGAGTGGGATATTTAACACTCACGTTAGGAATCTCGCACATGACGCGCTGACTCAAGTCGTGACAGGAAATTACGGCATTGGCAAGCGGAGCGAAGCATACTCCTGCGCGATATAGTCAGGCGGCCATGCCACCAACTTGGTGGCACCAAGGCCCCAAGGGCCACCCCCGGCACCGGCCCCCCGAAGGCCCCCACCATTGCCTCTAATTATACCCTTACCAGACGGTCCTTTGCGAGAACCCCCTGTCCAAGTGCCGCCGTTGCCAGCTCAGCAAGCACCACTGCCAGTTCCGGAAGGGCCCCTGCCAGCGCCTCTAATTATACCCTTACCAGACGGTTACGGGACCCCCCCGCACAAGAGCTACCCATGCCTTTACGACGAAGGCTGTTCGACATGGGGGAAGGTGACGAGGGGAATGCACAACCGGCAAACAAGAGGGCAAGAAGGTGAAAAAATGGCGAATATGAGATTAAATAACTTGTCTGTCTATAGAAGCGCCTCTGGAAGGCACGTAGTATTGTTTTTGTACGAGTCGTAATGCGATTAGTAGTTGGCGTTGAGTTGTTCGGGTGCCCGGTCTCGGGGTGCATGCAGGTTACCTGCAGCAGGTATATCAAGCTCCCCAAATGACCATCGTGGAAGCCTTAAAGGCTTCCACGTATTCCACGTTGTGTTCGTATACAAAGGCTTAGCCTTTGTCTCGACCACCCCAACAGACGAAGACGAAGATTCCGTGACCCGTTTAGAGGTCGTCACTGAGCAGTCGACTAGAGAAGAAGGAGAAATGGAACAAGTCACCACCGAAGAATATCCAAGACCTTCGGCCCCAAATAATTTAAGCCTATTACAGGAACCCGACCGTCCTTTCCAAGCTAACCTCGCAACCCTAGCCACTTTGTTCGAAGGTCCGGTCCATCGCCGCCCTCGTTACTCGAGGTGGACCAATCAAGAATATGTATCATTTTGTGAGGGATACAGAAGATATGGGCAACGCTGGAGGCTGTATCTGAGGGACCCTGAGTTGCACTTTTCTCCGGATCGTGACTCGGAAAGTCTTAGGCAGTTTTTCAGAAGACTGAGAAGACAATGGCGAGCTCTAAGTCAGTCGACTCAGCCAAGTCTCGCGAGTTAAGAGTAGTCGGTTAAGTATTTATTCATTCATTCATTTATTTATCCATTATTCATTCACTTACTTACTCATTGTTAATTACCGAGTGTTGTGTTTTATTATTTGAGCGTTTTCGTGTTCGTACTAGTGTTATCTCTTTGAATGTATGAGCTCGATATAGAATAATAGCATTTACTCAAGGCGAAGGCTACAGGTGCCAGGAAAGCCCGTGCAATTAGTATCCAAGCGAATGATTGAGTTTTTAATCATTCAAGTTGCGTTGATGGATGGGACGGTATATTTGCGATCCATATGTAACCCACTGACAGATGTTCCGCTACATCCATGGCTACACCGAAGCCTTCGTTAGTGAGCTGTTGAGTAGGCTACAGCAGTGCTGTAACAGCACGACATGCAATTGAATGCAACGTTCAAGAGGGCACACCTCATTGAGCTGCTCCGTGGTTACAAGCAGAACTCGGACTATCACGAGATGCGCTTGAGAATGGAGGCTCGTTTGCACAGATCGTTTCGGATTTGGAAGTTCGTCTTCATGATCATCTTCTACACAACCCATTCATCCCGCAGAGCCTTGCTGGATTGGAGCGCATTGGTTCGGATGGTCCGTTCAGGAATGTCAGTGGCCACATCGACGTATTTCCTATTAGAATACGACGCCGAGCCCGTGACCAGAGCTACTTTTACAACTCGACGTACAAGTCCCACTGTATCAAGGTACAAGCTGTGGTAGATATTCGTGGACGAATGATTCGTCTCGAATCGTTCATATAAGCTTACCACGGATCGGCGCTCGTCACGATCTCTATATCTACAAGGAGACTATCTGCAATAGGGCCCTGCGGGTGCCAGGCGGAAGATGTTTAATGGCTGATCTTGGGTACGCATTCGCTCAGAACCGTGCACTGCGGCTCATAACTCCGCATAAGCGGTATGCGCGTCGGAAACTCAGGGCCGAGGAAGACCTGTTCAATCGCCACGACGCTTCGGTGCGTAGTATCGTCAAACGAGCATTTGGATTTCTGAAGCGCTTCGATATCCTTCGATATCCCATATACGCCTGTACATCTTGTCGCCGACGTCTGTTCCGGAATGGTGTATCTGCTGTCACTCCGGCTCGCTTTCTGCTCATCCAACAAGCCGTGCCTTCCGCCGACTTCCAGCCCCCAACAGGGTTCGTTTGTACAACTTGCAACGGCTACATCAAGAAAAATACTCGCCCCCCACTGAATCAAGCCAACTCTCTCGGAGTGGATCCAATTCCAGATTGCTTGGCTCGTCTCAACAATCTCGAACGGAGGCTCCTTTGCCAGAGATACGCCTTTATGCAGTTGAATGTGGTTGCCAGAGAGAAGACGGGGGAACGAGTTCAGCCGAAAGTTTATGGAAATGTTGTTAATGTGCCTGTGGATCACAGGTCAGTACAGGAGGCCGTGCAGAGCCTTCCTAGGTCACTAGACGATGCTGGAATAATATATCTAAAATTGAAGAAGAGGCTGAAGCTTCGAACCAGCTTCATGTTCGAACGTGTCCGTCCTCAGCGAGTTCTCGAGGCTTTGCAGTGGTTAAAGGATAACAACCCCCTATATAGAGAAGCCGATACGAGCAATGCCGAAAACTGGGCCAGGACCGTTCAGGGTTCCCCTCTGAACGACTCGGATAGTTCGATGCCCATTGAGGGTGAAATGGATTCCAGCCAATGCGATTCGGACTCAGAGGATGAAGTTTCTGTTAACAATGTGGCCCCAGTCCCTACCGTTATGATACCTGATGAGAACCCACCGGAAAGTGTCATCCGTCAACTCGCCCGGGGTACTGCGAGGGTCACTGTTGCGTGCATGGCCCCCGCGGAAAATGAACAGCCACTGTCATTGTTGAGAGATAATGACTCCGAAACTCTCTCGTTCCCACACCTTCTTCCCATGGGCCGATGGGGGTTGACACATGCACGCGACTGTCGAATCAGCGCTCAGCAATACTTCGAGAGTAGACTGCTGCACGAGGATCCACGATTCAGGCAAGACTATGAATATGCCGAGTGCAAGAGAGTATCGTGCGGTGGTAGACAACGCGGCAATAGCCATGAAGAAGACTACATCTGCAGATAGCGCGTCCAGCCGCTTGACCGCCGGGAGAGCTCTCGCAGCCGATGTGAGCAAGGTTCCGGACCTTTTCAGCTGGCTGAACTCGATTAAAGGTAGTGTTTGGTTCTTTCATTCCTCGTGAACAACCTATCATCACAAAAACAAATCACATCACATTCTCGCAACAATGTTCATGCGATATAATTCCACATATGCATATTCTCCCACATCAATGATGCCATGAACCATCCTACTTCAATTTCTCCCAATTCTTCCACAACCCCTCCCTTCCCTCCAAACAACCTAGACAAACAATACCAATGTTAAGGTAAACAACATGGGGTATTGCTGACAATATGCAAGTGAAATTTGGGAAATTTTGTTGATCACTACATATTTCCGCCAGAATTTACACGATTCGTGAGGGAACCTCTGAGCCGAGTTGAGGAAACCAAACATGCCTTCCAATACTGCACTCACCCCACGGTGGGGTCCCCACCCTACCATGGTAGTAGTCGGTAGTGGATACGCTCCCTCTATGCTGCCCCTTCCTCCCCACACCAGCTGTTGCATCAGCAGTTCGGGTTTGTTGACTACGTAAAAGCTGCTGTTCAGCTAGTAGGAGTATCGAAGGTGTTCTTCCATCGTGGACCTGTTGTTGCTACATCTGTTTACACTTGTTGTTGAACAACAACAACATTCCACGATTTATTCAAAATAAGTCAACACCCACTACGTACAGTACGCGCCATCTAGAAACGCGCGAACTGGGCGGGCACTTTTTTCTTTCATTTTGACGAATATCGACCTAATTCTTTCACCATTGAGTTCCCCATGCTTGATTACCCATAAATCCAAGTCGCGCATTTGAAACTCGACAAAAAAATATTTTGGTCATTTTTACCCTCAGTGACCCTAGCGCATTCTCATTCGGTGCGCTCCTAGCGTCCTGGGGACGCTTATTGAATCACTCCAGCCCTCCACACCTAGCTACGGTCACAATTCAATTTGACACCTGAATTCAATTTCATCGAATGGCCATCCTAGAGCAGCTGCCAAGTCTCGAAGAGATCGGGCCTAGCCAGAGTTCCACCACCTCTGCTGGCCGAGCAGCTTCTAATGCAGAGGACGACCTGACTATCCACCACAAACGTGCTATCGGTTCGACTAAATTGAGAAAAAGAAAATCTCTGAGGTTGAAGACTCGAGCTCAAGCCTCTGGGGTATCTGGCAAGAAGACGGAGCCGAAAGGACAACACGTTCACGGCTACAACACAAGAAACCAGCCCCTAACAAGAGCTCAGAAGCGTGCTGCTGACCGTGAGGACAAGCCCAAGCCATCTGTGAAACGTCAGAGGTCGGTGAATTTGCCACGGAAAGGCTCGAGGCCGCAGAGTAAGAATGTCAGGGAGCTTCGGCAGAAGAAGAGGCAGGAGCGCGATGATGGGGTATCTAGCCTGTGGGAGGCCCTACAAGCAACGAGCCCTTTAGACGACATGTCCCTTCACCTCAAGAAGAGACTGGCTGTCTACATGTCTCTGACACAGTTCTACGGTTACTGGGGATGGCAGTCACGCGAGGAAATTGAAGAATTCGTTGCTGGCTTGCTCGACCTCAAGCCTTCTTCCGTTCACAGATGGTGTCATGACTTCGAGACTGATCATTACTTGGAGCAGGATTGTCGCGGGAAGCACTCGAAGGTTAGGAGTCCCCTCTATGACGTTGAATATCAGGGCTTCCGGGAAAGGTTCCGGCATTACGTCAAGGCAAACTCTATTGGCAAGGACGGCAGTCCCAATCTGACGGCTGATGCTCTGGCTGAGTGGGTCAACTCGGATTTGGACCTCCAAGATGAAGACAAGTATTCCAATCGTACAGTTCTCCGGTGGATGCATGCTCTAGGGTTCTCGGTACACTCAGTGAAGAACACATTGTATGTGGATGGGCACGAAAGGGATGATGTCGTGGCTGATAGGGAGCGCCTCTACAAGGAATTGCAGGAGGTTCGGCCCTATCTACAGACAGTGGACGACTGTACTCTAGAGGAGGCAGAGAATGGCGCTGCTACTCACATACTGATCTCGCAAGATGAGAAGATTCATCATAGCGGGGATACACAGCGCCGCTATTGGTCGGATGGGACATTCACCAAGCTACGACAGAAGTCACTTGGCCGGACCGTGATGACCTCAGACTTTCTGTCCGAGATCTTTGGGTTCATCCGTTACAGCAACGACGACCCTGTCGTGCCTGGTGAACGCACCGGGTCTGTCTTGGACGTGTCGGTCGATGGCTACTACAACAATGAACGGTGCCTTGTGGATTTCGCAGAATGCAGTGAGGCCGTCAAGACTCTCTCTGAGGGGAAGCTTGGGTGTGTCTTCTTGACCGATCGGAGCCCAATACACTGCAAGTATCCGGAGGATGGTCTCAACGCCAAGGCTATGAACGTCAAGCCTGGAGGGAAGCAGCCTCGAATGCGCGCAGGTTGGTATGAACGCGATGGCCGACGCGTTGTCCAGGAAATGGTCTTTCCGGTGAACCATCCTCGATACGCTGGCTTACCCAAAGGACTCCGGCAGGTGGTACTGGAGAGGTTCGGGGAAGCGGCAGTAGTGGGCAAGAAGCAGGACGAGCTGGTCATCCTACTCTCTAATTGTGATGATTTCGCTTCCCAGAAAACTCTGCTCCAGGAAGAAGCTGAGGCCCGCGGTGATCGAGTCATATATGGTGTGAAATTCCACCCAGAGTTGGCACCAATAGAGGCAGCTTACCGCTCTATCGCTAAGGCCATTAGGATAGGGAACTCCTCCAAGTCATCAGCAGGGTTCGTCCAAAGAGTAGAGCGCTGCCAGGAGCCTGCTGACCTGACGTTGCTGCTTATTCGCAAGCACTTCAGGTCATCCAGGGAGTATCTCAAGTCTTACATGGAGGGAATGAGCTTGGAGGAGATAAAGCGACTAAGAAAGGAGCGTCGAAAGCATCGAGGGCCAGCGCCAATGTTGCCTGCTCCTACAGGGCAGTCCAACGTCGGCAAGTTTAACCGGAGACGTGTAGTCTAATTTTCCAAGTTTTGTGCGTGTTTCTAATGAATTGCTCTCCATTTCGATATTGGGTTTTGAGAAAAGGTCATCAAGGAGTAGAGATTGTCCAAGACTGGCATAGACTTCTCGGCACTGAGGGTAAAAATGACCAAAATATTTTTTTGTCGAGTTTCAAATGCGCGACTTGGATTTATGGGTAATCAAGCATGGGGAACTCAATGGTGAAAGAATCAGGTCGATATTCGTCAAAATGAAAGAAAAAAGTGCCCGCCCAGTTCGCGCGTTTCTAGATGGCGCGTACTGTACCAACTGCTGTTTTCAACAACTTCCTTCTGAGTGTATATGAATATCATTCACGACATCATTTTTTCGTGCAAATTGCATGAAATTGTGGAGTATTGCACGCGCTGACCGTCGAACTTGATGTGCGAGTGATAACTTGCTTGGCCATGCACGGCCACGCCAGGAGAGATGTCTAACGTAGTCAGAATACAAAAGAGGCCCGCGATATCCTCAAAAAGTTGCCTTTTTTTGGGCTACATACGTTGGGCCCGAAAGCTACATACGTTCGGCCCGAACAGCCGCGCACAATGAATCTTGCTATTCACATGAATCGCACAAGACAGGATCTTCGATAGGAATCAGAATAATTACTGAATTGACTCTTTCCGAGTAGAGAGTCCCTCATCTGTATTAACCGTATATGGATATATCCACTCTGACCGGATATTATCAGCTCAGTGCGAATAAACCATTAATGTGTTCGTTAAGCTGCGGCTGTGCGCAAACTGTGCGCAAACTGTGCGTGGGACGGGTGCACTAGCCTTAAGCGAGTGGATGCCTTAGTCACCTGTGGCATCAGAGAGTTTCGTCGATAGTCTAACTGATCATTGCAAGATCGCTCAGCTGTATTCCTATTCAGCTTTCTGACACTTACTTTCTTTATCTCGTCATGGACATCGATTCTACCATCAATAACATCACCGTGGCCGAAGATGTGTTCAATCCCTTTCGAAGTCAAGATCCTCCTTTAGCTTCGGGTGATGCTATCTCATCTTGTTGGTCGAAGGGTGAGCCCTCAGCATTTCAAAGTCGATTGTGAGTTTCCTTGTATCGTAGGGTCACGTGAAGATGATGATGATACCATTAATAGCATCGCCGTGGCCGAAGATACGTTCATTCTTCTTCGAAGGCAAGATCCTCCTTTAGCTTCGGGTGATGCTATCTCATCTTGTTGGTCGAAGAGTGAGCCCCCCAGCATTTCAAAGTCGATTGTGAGTTTCCTTGTATCGTAGGATCACGTGAAGATGATGATGATACCATTAATAGCATCACCGTGGCCGAAGATATGTTCATTCCTTTTCGAAGGCAAGATCCTCCTTTAGCTTCGCCGAAGCTGCTTCGGGTGATGCTATCTCATCTTGTTGGTCGAAGAGTGAGCCCCCAGCATTTCAAAGTCGATTGTGAGTTTCCTTGTACTCTGTGCGGGATACCTCACAAATTTTCACCCGAGCGGGAAGGGCCCCGCGAGGGTCTAGGCCGAGCGCGGGTGGTCTCTGCCACCGGAAACTATCTTGTACGATTCACTGCACACTGCTCAAGTTTCCACTACTTAGAAGATGTTGAGTTGTCTAAAAAAGTAGCCCTATGACATACATCACTTATTTTTGTAATTTGAGTATTGAACGAAACCGATGTACAGTATATCTGTTTACAAAGATATGTTATGTATCTAATAGTACGGAATAATGGCGTCAGAAATTACTTATGAAGACATGTCGCACCGAAGGAGACACGAGTCTGCTCAGCTAATGTGTGATGTGCTTTTCAGTTGTACTTTCAGCCCCATATGCGTTTCACGATTCCTCTTCGAAAACTCCATTGAATAGAGTCCATTACCTGCCGTATTCGTAAAGCGAATTTGTATAGTCTGATGCTCACGTCTACAACGCAATGTATTCGCAACGCGGGTATTCAACTAGTATCAACGGATTTCCACCCAAGTGATATGAAAAACACTAATGGAAAACATATTTCACGATTCACTTTGCGGAAAACAATCGTATCATCGGTTTTCGCGGAAATATAACAACACGAAGTATTACGCCACTTCACGTCAATCGGGTGAAACTTCATTTTCATATTTCCTACTCGATAGATGTATTAAAATATATTATATATTCTTACTATAAAATATACAAATATTATGGTATGAAATATCATAGGTATCAAAGTAGATGGTTGTTGACCCATGGAAGATATTGGTAAATTTTCGAAAAAATTACTATTTTCTGGACACTTTTACCCGAATTCGTGTGGAAATTCCTTGGAAATTTTGGTAAATTCTTACTATTTTTTGTACATTCATACCCAAATTCGCCCAATTTTTCTTGTAAAAGATATTTTACTTGAAATACCACTTAGTGTCTATTTTTTATAAACAGAAAAATATGCGTTCATTGGAGTCCCATCCGCGTTACGTGGTGTAGCATAATACTCCACGATTTTCGCAGTATAGTCTCACTATAATTTTTTCAAGCATTTTTCATATCATCACTAGGGTGGTGAAACTCCATTGTGTCTCCACCTGCCCCCATAGTTGGAATATAATACAAAAATTTTTTATAGGATTTCCTTGATAATGATCAAGTACGTACTGCAGCTGTTCACGGCTGGATGCTATTTTGGACTACTGTTGATTTTTGTTGGTAATAATCGTACCTGCTTTGAATCTTCGCGTGCGACGTGGATCTTCGATGACAATATAGAAAAAAATGTGAGGAAATTTTCTGGTGAATTCTTATTGGTTTCTGTACAGTCCTATCTGAATTCGTATAAAGTTTTTGGTAAATTGTTTTTGGTTTTTGTACACTTCTACCCGAATTCACATGTAAGTGAGAAAATTCCTGAGCTCAGCTGAGGAAATCAAATATATATTCCTCCAGCTCTGGAGTTTCACAACCCGTTTTACGTAATACTCTGTGAAAAACGCGATATTCGCGGTGATATGCAGTAGTCGTGAAATATATTCCACATATCTTTAAGGTGAAAATCCACTGTCATCAGGTGTAGGAATCTTGAACCTTGCGTGTGCGTACAAAGTAGCTCCCAGGGATCTTCAGCTGTATCTCCCCGCGTTATATGCCCATTTTGCCAAGACCGATTTTATGAAGGTACAAAAATTTTGTCACTCGCCACGAAATTATTTTTTAGAGTGCTATGAAGTTGTGTGGAATTGCTACTGTTCCACAGTTGATGAAGATCTTAGGCTATGTTCATATCGCTAGTGTAATGAGCCTCTTTTTCCAGCCGGTGTTGGGAGCAATGTGGACGCTTATGTGGGTGGTTGGTGAAGAGTAGGTCCCGGGTTCGAATCCCAGCGAGGGCGTTTTCTCCGATCGGAAATTTACAAAGCAACTGTTAGTCAGATTTCAATGAACTCATCTATGCATTGCATGAAATTTTGGGATAATTTATCTCAAATTTTTATTTTTACAATGGAGTTTCACCACCCTAGTGATATCACGACTACTGCGAATATCACCGCGAATATCGGGTTTTTCACAGAGTATTATTACGCCACTTCACGTAAAACGAATGATATGAAAAACACTAGCAAGGACATATTTCACAACTCTTTGCGTATCGTCGCTATTGCAAGATACGTTTCGTATGAAGCCGTAAAGCTTCCTGGTATGCCTAACTCCGTTCTCTGTGGTGGAGTTTCTCCAACGTGTATCGCGACAATAGGCCTGCATATCGCAGTTGCTATTATGTCTATCGTGGTAAGAAGTGTTGTAATCTAATGTATATAATCAACCATTTACTAAGTGGTGAATAGTTGGTGAATACCAACCATTCACCAACTATTTACTAAGATCACTCTCGTTGAACTCAATATGTAGGGGGCGTCGGTTGAAGCGGCTGTGCGTAAACACGCGTCGATTGAGGATAAGGCCAACGAATGCTGGAATGATTTCAGATGTTATTCATGCACTAGTCACGACAACAATGGAGTTTTACGACCCGTTTAACGTTAAGTGGCGTAAAACTCGGTGAAAATATCACTAGGGTGAAAAACACCAGTGAAAAATACATTTCACGACCACTGCATATCACCGCGAATAATGTCGCGTTTTTCACCGAGTTTTACACCACATCACGTAAAACGGGTCGTGAAACTCCATTGTTACAATTTTGCATGACCTCGCACTTTTTTGGGGGAGTGTGGGAAAATCTGCAAATGGCCGACCACATATGTTGGTGAGGAAATTTTGCAAAATTCTTGTTGGTTTCTGTACATTTCTACCCTAGTTCGTATATGAACTCCTTCGTGAGGAAACTCCTAGGGTCAGCAGAAGAAAGCGATTACATATATTACCACACTGGAAAACTGAGTAGTTGTAAACAATACTAATAAGGAAATATAAAATGCCAGAAAAGTTAGTAAATGTTTGGGAAATTTCTGTACATTTCTACCCTAGTTCGTATATGAACTCCTTAGTGAGGAAACTCCTAGGTCCAGCTGAGGAAAGCGATTACATATATTACCACACTGGAAAACTGAGTAGTAGTAAACAATACTAATAAGGAAATATAAAATGCCAGAAAAGTTAGTAAATGTTTGGGAAATTTCTGTACATTTCTACCCTAGTTCGTATATGAACTCCTTAGTGAGGAAACTCCTAGGTCCAGCTGAGGAAAGCGATTACATATATTACCACACTGGAAAACTGAGTAGTAGTAAACAATACTAATAAGGAAATATAAAATGCCAGAAAAGTTAGTAAATGTTTGGGAAATTTCTGTACATTTCTACCCTAGTTCGTATATGAACTCCTTAGTGAGGAAACTCCTAGGTCCAGCTGAGGAAAGCGATTACATATATTACCACACTGGAAAACTGAGTAGTTGTAAACAATACCAATAAGGAAATATAAAATGCCAGAAAAGTTAGTAAATTTCGGGAAATTTCTGTACATTTCTACCCTAGTCGTATATGAACTCCCATAGTTAGT